CAAGAGAACTTTATTTTGTGTTTAAAAGTGGAGGATGCTGTACATTCAGTTTAAAAGAGCATTGGGAGCTTTTCTGTGTATCTATCCGCATGCCATCCCTATACTTAGAACTAGCTTCACTTATAGTTTAAAGAGAGTACCAGGGGGCTTTTTTTTTCCGTTTACTTTTAGTTGGAAAGAGTCGATAGAGTTTTGATCAGTAACGGAGGGGACAGCCACTGGAAAGTGGGTTTCAGGTTACCACATCAGCCATGGTCTCAAATGACAAAAACAAGTTTAAGGGACTGAACAGTATACACCCAGTCCTCATTCTTAGTGCTGGTGTATTGTCAGTGTGGAGGGATAGGATTAGAAGGAGAAAGGTGACCTGCGTGGGACTCAAAGCTGTTCCACCTGATATGAAACCAGATCTCATCTAAATCAGTCACCATAATATGGATCCAAGCACCTTTAAGAGATTCTGAAAGACAGGATCTACAGGCATTTAAAGAGGCATGGACTCATTTGGGATAGTCAGCATGGGAAATCGTGTCCCATGCATTTGATTGAGGTTTTTGAAGGGATGACCAAGAAAGTAGATGAGGGCAGTGTGGTAGATGTTGGTTACATGGACTTTCGCAAGGCCTTTGACAAGGTAACGCATGGTAGGTTGTTGAGTAAGGTTAAATCTCATGGGATCCAGACAGAAGCCAATTGTATACAAAATTGGTTTGAGGGTAGAAGACAGGGGGTGGTAGTAGACGGTTGTTTTTGAGACTGGAGGCCTGTGACTAGTGGTATGCCACAGGGATCAGTGCTGGGTCCATTGTTATTCATTGTTTATATGAATGATTTGGATGAGAATTTAGAAGGTATGGTTAGTAAGTTTATGGATGACACCAAGATTGGTGGTGGAGTGGACAGTGAAGAAGGTTATCTGGGAATGCAGCAAGATCTTGATCAACTGGGCCAGTGGGCTGAGGAGTGGGAAATGGGTGTTTAATTTAGATAAATGCAAGGTGTTGCACTTTGGCAAAGCAAACCAGTGTAAGACTTACACAGTCAATGGTAGGGACCTGGGAGTGTTATAGAACAACGAGATCTAGGGGTACAGGTTTGTAGCCCCTTGAAAATGGAGTCACACAGACAGGGCAATGAAGGCAGCTTTTGGCATGCTAGCTTTCATCAGTCAGAGCATCGAGTATAGGAGCTGGGATGTCTGTTTGCAGCCGTACAAGATGTTGGTGAGGCCACATTTGGAGCACTGCGTGCAGTTCTGGTCACCCTGCTATAGAAAGGATATTATTAAACTAGAAAGACTACAGAAAAGATTTACTAGGATGCTACCTGGGCTGGGAGGTTTGAAATATAAGGAAAGTTTAGATAGGCTGGAACTCTTTTCCCTGGAGCATAGGAGACCGAGGGGTGACCTTATAGATATATATGAAATCATGACAGGCATAGATAAGGTAGATAGTGAACAGCTTTTCCCCATGGTAGGGGGGTGTAAAACTAGAGGGCAAAGGTTTAAAGTGAGAGGGGAGAGATACAAAAGGGTTCAGAGGGGCAATTTTCACACAAGGTGCAGAGAATGTCTGCAACAGGCTGCCAGAGGTAAGGGTGCCACCAAGTACAATTTCATCTTTTAAGAAACGTTTGGACACGGATGGGATAGGTATGGAGGGGAACAGACCAAATGCAGGCAAATGGGTTTGGGTTAAATTGTGAAAACTGGGCAGCATGGACACGTTGGGCCGAAGGACCTGTTTTCATGCTGTGGAGTCATAGCAGTCTAGGGTAGCAACTCTGACATTCAGTCTGACTGTGAGAGAGGCAAGAGAGAAACCCATGGAGAAACCAGGTAAAATAGAAAGGCAAAGGTTGGAGGTCAGGGAGAAAAAACGTCTTGGTGAAATTCCAACATTCAGCAATAGAGTTACTCAGCATTAGGAGGGGAGGTATTTAAAGTTTCAAGAAAGTTAAAAACCACTGCATAAAAGATGCCCCACAGAGTTCACCCACCCCAAAATCGTGAGGGGCTGAATGGTCTACTCCTATTATTTATAGTCTGATGCTCACAACTTGATCAAACCTTGGAAATCCCTAATGCAGCTGTGTAGCCGAAACCACAAAACCTCGGCAATATTATGGTAAATCTCTTCTCTATGGGATTCCTTCCTACAGGAAAGGAGAGAGAAAGAGAGAAAAAAAAAAGGAAGAACAGAAAAGAGAGAAAAAAAAAAGAGAGAGAGGGGTGAATCAAGAAATTTACAAACCATTTCCTCCCTTCAAACCTGCAGGGTTTGAGAAATTCCTACTTTTGAAATAAAACCAGTCTGATTCCAAACCAAAACATAAACATATTCTAAACAAGGCCTCACACCTAACATGCATTACCTGACTTAAAATGTCACCTCTTCTTTAGTCCAAAACCCTCAGTTCTCTCAGGACAGTGACTTAGGAATTAGGGAATTTACATACACACACAAATCAATTGAAACCTTCCAACTGAAGATTTAACAGCATCTTAGGTTTGTTTAGTACATCCTCATCAGTGGTGTGATTCTTTGATCTTTTACTTATAAATTGTATGTCTGATACTGCCTCTGTCACTAACACCTGAAAGGTGTGGTGTTGGGGGGGGGGGGGGGGGGGGGGGTGGTGAAGCTTCAAAAGCTTGTGTTTTCAAATAAACCTGTTGGACTATAACCTGGTGTCGTGTGATTTCTGACCTTATCCACCCCAGTCCAACACGGGCACCTCGACATTATCCGCAGTGTTTGACAGAGGAATTGTCCTTTGCTTTTTTTTCAAAAAAAGACTTTACGAAAAGATGCGGGTATGGATGGCTGAGCCAACATTTATTCCTGCGATGAATTGTCCCTTGCGAATGTGAACTGCTTCACAAACCACCGCAGTGCGTGGGGCACCCACAGGGCTGTTAGGAAGGGAATTACAGGATTTTAACCCAGTGACACTGAAGGAATGGTGGTATATTTCCAAGTCAGGATGGTGAGTCATTTGGGGAGCATCTTGCAGGGAATAGTGTTCCCATGTATCTGCTGTTCTTGTCTCCTAGATTGATGTGATCATGGGTTTGGAAGGTGCTATCTGAGGATCTTTGGTGAATTTCTACAGTGCATCTAGTAGATAGTACACACTGCTGCTACTGAGCATCATTGGTGGGGTGGAGTGGATGTTTGTGGATGTGGTGCTAATCAAGCGGCGGCTGCTTTGTCCTGGATAGTGTCAAGCTTCTAGAGAGTTATTGGAGCTACATCTATCCAGGCAAGAGGGGAGTATTCCATTACACTCCTGACTTGTGCTTTGTAGATGGTGGGCAGGATTTGCAGAGTCAGGAGGTGAGTTACTCACTGTGGTATTCCTAACCTCTGACCTGCTCTTGCAGACTCTGTGTTTACATGGTGAAGCCAATTGAGTTTCTAGTCAACATGAAGCCCTAGGATGTTGATAGTGAGAGATTCAGCGGTGTCAACACCATCGACTATCAAAGAGCAGTGGTTAGATTATCTCTTTCTGGAGATGGTCATTGCCTGGGATGCAGATGCCCCCGCAGCACCGACCCTCTGACAGTAAATTGCTCCCTCAGCACCAACCTCTCCCTACAAACCTGATAGGGATCAGTGGTGGGGGAGGCCATGGGGACAGGCAGCGGTGGCAGCAGGGAGGCCACGGGGAGAGGGGTTGGCAGTGGGGAAGGTTACGGATTGGTGATAGAAAATGGGAAAGGATAGCACTGTCCACAGAGACCCAGTTGCTTCCATTTAGATTCTGTGGTCCCTTCCCGCTAACCCTTTGCTTACCAGCCTGCGGCTCCGACATTCCGGTTCAGCCTCTGGCTCCATTCCTGCTGGTTGTCTCTCCGGTTCGTGGGATGGGAGGGATATAAATCCTCCTCGTCCCCTTACACCTGCCAAATCCTATCTTCTTCCTGCAACTCTGCTTCAAACGCTGTTGCGTTGGTGCCCCCAGTGACAGAGCTCTCCTTATCTCCAAGGATCACAAAACAAATTTTTGCCCTCACTCCAAGAAAAACGTTTGCTCTGTCAGACAGTCACAATGTCTCGGACACAATCCCTCACTCCTTTGTATCAACTTATCAATCTCTTCAGCAGCAGCAAATGGTCCACCTGGTTTCTGTTTAACTTCACCCTGCAGAGAGGTGGCAAGCCTTCTTGAATATAAACTGTGCAGCTTGATTCGCCAATTGCCACTTCTTGACTTCAAAACAGTTTCCTGCTTTTTGGATGGTAAAACCTGCTTTTACAAGTTCTTCCTCGGCACTTTCAGGTGTCACCAAAATAATCCTCTCTCGTCGATCACGACTGTGTCTCTCCCCCTCCTGCCCACCTTCGACTTTTCAGTTTCCAGGTCTGTTGGCAGCTTTGCCAGGTCTCTGTTGTCACTCCCTGGTATCAATGTCTCAAAGTGATCTGGAGTGGTCTGGGCCCAGACCACAATCAGAGCAATCCAGACTGAAGCAAGCCCAGCTTCTGTTCCAAGTGAATCCAGCCCCAAGTTAAAAGAGCCAGGCTCTTATCCTGGGACTACCCTTGGTCTAGTCCTGGTTGCAGGTTAATCTGGTGGCTCACCTTTTGCAGGTAAACCGTCCCAGGCCTGGCTGCTATCTAGGGTTAATCAGAGTGTGAAAGGCCCTAAGGCTCCTAAGCCAGGTTAATTGCAACGTCCCAGGCCTGGCTGCTATCCCGGGTTAATCAAACTATCCCAGGCCCGGGTTAATCAAACCGTCCCAGGCCCGGGTTAATCAAACCGTCCCAGGCCCGGGTTAATCAAACCGTCCCAGGCCCGGGCTCCTATCCCGGGTTAATCACACTATTTCAGGCCCAGGCTCCTATCGCGGGTTAATAAGACTGTCCCCAGCCCGGGGTTGATGCTGCACTAGTCAGAGGCCCAAAGTTGAATGTTTCTCTCTGTCTCTCTCCCCTTCAATCCGCCAGAACCAGGGCCCGGAGCCGCTCGACCGCCATTTTGAGCCGCTGCCCTCCTCCTTTCTCCACACAAACACTGCCCCGAGCTGCGCGCGCATCGTCACCGCCCAGCCACCCAGCAACCATTGGCCGGGAGATGCCGATGGATAGACTGATTAACCAGTAGAGATTGGGAGGGGGGAAGGCTCTTCCCTTCTATTGGTCAATATGCCCTTGATGGACGGAGTTTCTGACCAATAGATTGTGGAGAACTGCGGGCCAATCTCATCGACTTTTCCATCTCGTCGTTGATGGATGGGACTATCAGCCAATAGAGAGGTGATAAAGGTGTCACGTAATTTTGATTGGTCAATCCACCTTTGATGGATGCAGTTAGGAACCAATAGTTTGGAGAAAGGTGACTAATTAACCCGCCCTTGATTGACGGGGCAAGGTGAAGAGCCGTGGGTGGCGAGGGCGCGCGACCCAATTGGACTGAACGGACTGGTGAACGGTCCTGTTAAACGATAGGGGTAGAGCGAGGGGCGGGACACTCTCTTCGATTGGTTCACTCGTTCTTAATAGACGGAGTATGGGTGGCGAGAGGTGACGAGTACCCGGATCGCCATTGGTTCGCTGTCCCATCCATCAGCACCGCCAGACCAATAGGATCGGGGTGTTTCGTGAAGCGGGAGCACAACGTGAAGGCGTGAGCTAATTGTTGATACATAACTGGCTGGCGCTTGGAGGGGGTGGAGGACCCGATTTGGTTGGTCTGATGAGCGTTAATGACGGCCAGATGGACCAATGAGTGAAGAAGCGCCGCCCAACTGCCACCGATTGACAGGGTGACCTTCCAAGTGGAAACGAACTCCGAGCTGATGGACAAATGTTCTATCCAATAGTTGAGGAGGATCGGACGAATGCCGCATTGCTACTGGTGGAGGTGAGCTAAGGGGTGGGAGGGAGGTGGGTTCTGGATGCAATTGTCCTTCCCAGTTTGGCCTACGTGCTGTCAATCAGGAACGGGCTCCCGCCTCCTTTTACATTTGAAAATTAACCGTCAGTCCAAGGGGAGCCGCCAAAATGGGCAACGCAGCGGGAGTGAGGAAGGTGAAGGTGACCGTGACCCCCCCCTCACCACCTCCACCCACAACGTCTCCATTAACCCCTTCTCCCCCCTCACCCCAACCAACAACCTTGACTCCACCTTTGACCCGATCGGCCATCCTATCCCGACCATCAACCCACCCAAGACCCCAAACACCAACCGAACCTTCAACCCCGCCACGACCCCAAAGGCCAACACCACCTTCAACCTCGCCACGACCCCAAAAACCAACACAACCTTCAACCTCGCCACGACCCCAAAAACCAACACAACCTTCAACCCCACCACGGCCCCAACCACCAACCCAACCATCGATCCCACGACTCCAAATGCCAACCCAACCATCGATCCCACGACCCCAAATGCCAACCCAACCATCGGCCCCACCACCCCAACGGTCAACACAACCTTCAACCCCACCACGGCCCCAACGGTCAACGCAGCCTTCAACCCAGCCACGACCCCGACCACCAACCCAACCTTCGACCCCACGACCCCAAACCCAAACCCAACCTTCGACCCCACCACAAACCCGATCACCAACGTCAACTGAACCTTCAACACCCCCACGATCCAAACCTCCAACCCAACATTCGACCCCACCACGATCCAAACCACCAACACCAACTGAACCTACAACCCCGCCACAACCCGAACCGCGAACTAAACCTTCGATGCTACCACGACCCCAACTGCTAACCCAATCTTCGGCCTCACCACAGCCCAAACCACCAATGCCAACCAAACCTTCAACCCCACCCAGACCCAAAACGCCCACGCCAATCAAACCTTCAACCCCACCACAACCCCAACCGCCAACACCAACCCAACCTTCGACCCTGCCACAACCCACACCATCAATGCAATCTTCAACCCCGCCACAACCCAAACTGCCAACATCAGCCCAATCTTCGATCTCAGCGCAACCCCAGGAAACATCGCCGTCCCATTCTAGGACCCTGTCACGACCCCAGACTCCATCACCATCCCAGTCTTTCTCTAAGACGCGACCTCAGACACCAATGCCAACCCAATCTTCGACCTCGACGCGACCCCAGACACCATCACCATCCCATTCTACGACCCTGTCACGACCCCAGTCTCCGACACCATCCCATTCCTCGACTTGGACGCCGACGCCAATTCAACCTTCAAGCCCAACACGTCCCCAGATGCCAATGCCAACCCAACCCTCGACCCCAGCGCAACCCCAGACACCAAGGCCATCTCAGCTCTCAAACACTCCACGAGCCGAGGCACCAGCACCATCCCTGTCATTAATCCTGCCACAGCCCCGCCCACCAACCCCACCCAAATACATTTCACGGACGTCCACTGCCTCGCAAACTGTCCCACAGCCCCAACCTCTGACCTCAGACCCATCAACAGACCAGACACCAAGGGCCTTCGAACCTTTGACCCTGGCACAACACCGCCTGCCGACGCCAGCTAACCACACTAACTGCACCCCCACAGCCTCGCAAACTCAGCCACCCACGGTGCTACAAGCCATGACTACGCCCCAATCCCCAGAACCACCTCAACCTTTGAACCCCATGAAGTCCCACCCACCAAGCCCACCCCAATCTTTACCCCCTTCCTCCAACCCGTCTCAGACCACAGCAGGAGTGGTGCCCCAACACTGGGCGCTAGAGAGAGCCGAACTGCTTGGGACCGACCATCTTGCAGCACTGGCCGCTACCCCTCCCCCACCTTTGAGGGAAAACTCTGTGGCTTCTGAGATGCTGACAGTGCACCCACAATCTCACTTACCCTCATCTCCCACTCCCCACCCTTCTTCTATCCACGTGGGCCTACCTCCAAACCCACCCATCCCCCAGAGTACATCTTCTCTGTCCCGCCCTTCCACACCCCCACTCCCCTACCTGGTGAACCTCAATCTCTCCCGCCTCCTGATGCGCCACAGTCCGCGCCATTTGAGTTTGCATTTGCCACACCGCCATACTCACCGCCCATTTACTCCGCCCTTCCCCCACCGGCCGCCTCCCCACCCTTTATCACCACTTGCCCTCCCCTACCCAGAATCCAGTAGGACCCCATCCCATCAGGCCACTCCCATCCACACCAACATATATCCCAACCCCAATGCCCCGATCAGCCACACCAGTTCAACCTACAGCACCTCCCGCGCACGCCCCCGTTTGCCTACCGGCCATGTGGACACACCCCATCCCCAGACCGGGCCTCACCCTGCCTCCACGGTGCCCGTCCATTCTCACGCCCACTCTCATCACTCACCTACGCATGGAGCCCACTCCCACCCTCACCATTTACCCCCTGCACAGACTGAGCACACACCAGTCCCAAGCCCACAGGGAGCTCCCACCCACCCCGGTCTGCATGCACACCACCAGCACTCCAATCCGATGCCTACCCACACCCCCATCAGTCTCCCTCACCACCCGGTGCACAGCCATCACCTGGCTGGCCATGGCCACACAGAGCCCACTGCCAAGCACCAGGGTCCTGCTGCCCCGTTGCAGGTAAGCGGCTCCACTCACCCACACATTCACCCTCACCCTCATAGGCATGGGCACGAGCAGGATAACCCTGTATCCCCAACCGAAGCACTGGAACCGGACTACCCCTACCAGCTCTCCCACTCACACCTCCATTCCGCGCCAGGGCCAACACACCTCCACCCTCACACTCACCCACACCATCCCTTACCGCCATCTTCCGGCATCACTCACACACACCCGCAACCACAGGACGAGCACAGCTCACACACCCACGCCCACGCACACATCCATGGCCATGTCCACACCAACATGCCAGGTCCCCGAGAAACAGTGACACCTCATCACCCCCACACACACCCACACAGTGTAGCCCATTCCCACCTCCACACACATAACACACCCCCAATCCCACACCCAACCCCACACACTGACACACACATAACAAGCCTCCACCCCCACACACTGACACACGCATAACATCCCTACACTCGCTACCACATACTGACACACACAACACACCTCCAGCTCCACCCCCACACACTGACACACACAACACCCTCTCACACACATCCCCACACTCTGACACACACAACATCCACACCCCACTCCCACACACTGACACACACATAATATCCCCACACCCAGCCCTACACACTGACACTCACAACAGCCCCCACCCGCACACACTGAGACACACATACACACACACCACACACATAATAGCCCCCACCACCACACACTGACACACACCTAACCCCCGCCACCTCTACACATTGACACACACATAACACTCCCCCACTCCCACCCTCACACACTGACACACACACATAACAACCGCCTACCGCAGCCCCACACACTGACAGACACAGACTTAACATGCCCACCCCCACACACTGACACACACACGTAATGCCCCCACCCCCATATACTGACGCACACATAACAGCTCCAGCCCCACCCCATGCACTGACATACACATAACACCCCTGACACCCACACAGTGAAACATTCGTAACAACCACCCACCTCCACACCCACACACTGACACACACATAACACCACCCACACCCACAACCTGACACAAACATAACACTCCCCCTACACTGACACATACACATATCACCCACACACCCCAACACCGACATCACCTCCTATACACAACACAATCTAGGTGTCAGATAGAGATGAAACCCCTTTAACAGGTGTCTGTCAGTGTGTCACTGCCCCTTTAACAGGGGGTCTGTGATGGTGACCCTGCCCCTTTAACAGGGG